GGGGAGGGGCTGGGCTGGAATTCCCAGAGAAGCTGTGGCTGCCCCTGGATCCCTGGGAGTGTCCAAGGAAAGGTTGGATCCCCTGAGATAGCGGGAGGTGCCGGGGTTGGAACAGGATGAGCTTTAACATCCCTTCCCACCCAAACCATTCCAGGATTCCCTGTTTTTATGACTCACTCCACATCCCAGGGCACGGGGCTGTGCCGGAGGGACACGAGGATCCCGGGACAAACCCACAGGGACACGAGGATCCCGGGAAAAACATCCCTGGCTATCAGCGGGTTGTTGTGAGCCCCGGGAGCACCTCCTGTCCCCGCGGCTCCGGTGTCACAGCCCGGCTGCGCCTCATCCCGAGGGATTTGAGCCCGGCAGTGACATTCACCGGAGCTCATTCACACCCAGGTGTGACCCGGCCCGGGAATTAGGGAATGAAAGGCCAGGAATGACGTGGAGGACAAATCCAGACAAATCCAGACACCCCCGGATCCGGCACTGCCGGGAAAGGGCTGCACGTCCTGAGCCGGTGGGGATGGGACCCAGGGAATGGATCCCAGTGGGAAAGGGGAGATTTGGGGGGGAGACTGGGAAGGGATTCCCGGCTGGGAGGGTGGGGAGGGGCTGGGCTGGAATTCCCAGAGAAGCTGTGGCTGCCCCTGGATCCCTGGCAGTGTCCAAGGCCGGGTTGGATTCCCTGGGATCGAAGGGTCGGAATGGGATGGGATTTGAGGTCCCTTCCCACCCAAACCATCCCGGAATTCTGCCGGCCACGCTCCGAACCCGGGGCTGGATGATCCTGCTTTTCCAAGGCGTGGAATTCCAGGTCATGGATGGGGTTCAGCTCTGGGAGAGGAGGAAGAGATTCCTCCCGATGGGATTTTCTTCCCGCTGTCGGATCCCTCTGGTTCATCCCATGGGATCCAGCTCCATCCACCAATCCCACTGGGATACTGGGAACAATTCCTGCCTGGAAAAAGTTCCCCAGCCCTGGCACAGCTTCCCTGGGGCAGTGCCGGAATCCCCATTCCCAGTGGGAATTAAAATCCCCTTGGGATGCAGGATTTGGTGATGCGGGATTTGGGGCCGTGGGCGCGAGGTCGGACCCGACGACCTCCGAGGGCTTTTCCAGCCTTCCTAAATCCACCATTCCACGATTCCCACCCTCGGGAAGGACAAGGAGAGAGGCCCCAGCCCAGCTCCAGCCGGGGAGGGGCCGGATCGAAACTCCGGGAGCTCGGAAAACATCCCCCGGGAATCCCCGAGGCCGCTCCGGCTCCGGCTCCGGTGACGTCGCCTTCCCTAAATAAGATTTCCCGGCCTTTCCTTGGAAACGGGAATTGGCCTGATGAAGATGGAAGAGCCTTTAAAGTGGGAATTATGGCTCCGGGATGGGCCATCCGGGGGCTCGGAATGGCCGCCCTGTCACGGGAAAAATACGGCCGGGAAGGGGCGGCCGGGGGAGCTGACGCAGGACGGGATCGGGGGAGAGGGGAGGGGTGGGGAGGGGATGGATTTGGGAAGGGGGGAGGGATTGGGGAAGGGGGGATGGATTTGGGATGGATTGGGGAAGGGGGGAGGGATGGGGATGGATTTGGGAAGGGGGGAGGGATTGGGGGTGGATTTGGGAAGGGGGGAGGGATTGGGGATGGATTTGGGAAGGGGGGATGGATTGAGGATGGATTTGGGAAGGGGGGATGGATTTGGGAAGGGGGGATGGATTGAGGATGGATTTGGGAAGGATTAGGGAAGGATTTGGGGATGGATTGGGGATGGATTTGGGAAGGGGGAATGGATTGGGGATGGATTTGGGAAGGGAGTTGGGAAGAGCAGGGAGGTGGGGATGGATTTGGGATGGATTTGGGAAGGGCAGGGAAAGAGGGATGGATTGGGGGTGGATTTGGGAAGGAGGAATGGATCGGGGATGGATTTGGGAAGGAGGGATGGATCAGGGATGGATTTGGGAAGGAGGAATGGATCGGGGATGGATTTGGGATAGATTTGGGAAGGGGGGATGGATTAGGGGTGGATTTGGGAAGGGGGGATGGATTAGGGGTGGATTTGGGAAGGGGATAGATTGGGGATGGATTTGGGAAGGGCAGGGAGGGAGAGAGGGATTTGGGGATGGATTTGGGAAGGAAGGGCTGGGAGGGGAGGATGGATTGGGGAAGGGGGGATGGATTTGGGATGGATTTGGGAAGGGGGGATGGATTGGGGATGGATTTGGGAAGGACAGGAAGGGGGGATGGATTGGGGATGGATTTGGGAAGGGCAGGGAGGGGAGGAGGGATTTGGGAAGGGGGGATGGATTTGGGATGGATTTGGGAAGGGGGGATGGCTTGGGGGCTGGATTGGGCCGGACAGGAAGGGGGATGGATTGGGGATGGATTTTGGAGGGCGGGAGGGGCGGGGGGAGGAGGGATTTGGGAAGGGGGGATGGAATTCTGGAAAGGCAAGGAGGATTGGGAATGGGATTTGAAGGGCAGGGCGTGGGGCATGGCTTGTGGGATTGTTGGGGAAGGGGGGCTTTATTTGGTATGTATTTGGTCCAGGCACGGCGGGATTTGTGGCTGATTTGGGAAGGGCTGGGGGGTGGAAGGATTTGTGCAGGGTGGATGGATTGGGGATGGATTTGGGAAGGGGGGATGGAATTGGGAAGGACAGGAAGGGGGGGATGGATTGGGGATGGATTTGGGAAGGGGGGATGGATTAGGGGTGGATTTGGGAAGGACAGGAAGGGGGGGATGGGTTTGGGAAGGGGGGATGGATTTGGAAAGGGCAAGGAGGAATTTGGGAATGGATTTGGGAAGGACAGGGAGGGGGGGATGGATTTGGGAAGGACAGTGAGAGGGAGAGGGATTGGAAATGGATTTGGGAAGGGCAAGGAAGGATTTGGGAATGGATTTGGGAAGGACAGGGAAGGGGGGGATGGTTTTGGGAAGGAGGGTGGATTGGGGATGGATTTGGGAAGGACGGGGAGGGGATGGATTTGGGAAGGGTCAGGAAGTGGGGAGGGATTTGGAATGGATTTGGGAAGGGGGGATGGATTGGGGAGGGATTTGAGAAGGAGAGATGGATTGGGAATGGATTTGGGAAGGGCAGAAGGGTGGGGATAGATTGGGAAAGGATCCCGGGAGAGCTTGGAGCACATTCCAGAGGCTGAAGGGGCTCCAGGAGAGCTGGAGAGGGCCTGGGGCTCAGGGCCTGGAATGCCAGGCCCCATGGAATGGATCCCAGTGGGAAAGGGGAGATTTGGGGGGGAGATTGGGAAGGGATTCCTGGCTGGGAGGGTGGGGAGGGGCTGGGCTGGAATTCCCAGAGAAGCTGTGGCTGCCCCTGGATCCCTGGCAGTGTCCAAGGCCGGGTTGGATTCCCTGGGACAGCGGGAGGTGTCCCTGGGATAGAACAGGATGATCCTTAAAATCCCTTCCCACCCATCCCACGATTCCACGCTCAGCCCATTCCCCCCTTCCCAAAGCTTTGCTTTCCCCCAAATCCCCCTTTTTCCCCCCCAAAATCCCCCTCTGGAGCCTCTGGAATTCCAGAGCCGCTCCAGCCCAACATTCCCGCCCCAAATCCCCCTTTTCCCACCCCAGGGAAGGATTTTCCCCCCTCCCCTCCCTCCCGAAGCAATTAGAGCCTCTCCCGGAAAAGTTTTTCCTGGAATGCTGTTAATCCCTCCGGCCGGCTCCNTTGGACTCCATGATCCTGGAGGGATTTTCCAACCTGAACCATCCCTAAGGATCCTGTGCCATCCTGGGACTGTCCCAGCTCCTACAATCCCCTGGAAGGAAGTCCCCAATTCCCAGGGAACGAGGGACAGGAGGAGAGGGAACGGCCTCCAACATCCCTCCAGGCTCAGGTGGGATATTGGGAACAATTCCCACATGGAAAGAGCTGTCCCAGGGCAGGCTCAGCTGGGGACAATTCCCACATGGAAAGGGCTGTCCCAGGGGAGGCTCAGCTGGGATATTGGGGATAATTCCCACATGGAAAGGGCTGTCCCAGGGCAGGCTCAGCTGGGATATTGGGAACAATTCCCACATGGAAAGGGCTGTCCCAGGGCAGGCTCAGCTGGGATATCAGGGACAATTCCCACATGGAAAGAGCTGTGCCAGGGCAGGCTCAGCCGGGGACAATTCCCACATGGAAAAGGCTGTGCCAGGGCAGGCTCAGCCGGGATATTGGGAACAATTCCCACATGGAAAGGGCTGTCCCAGGGCAGGCTCAGCTGGGATATTGGGAACAATTCCCACATGGAAAGGGCTGTCCCAGGGCAGGCTCAGCTGGGATATTGGGAACAATTCCCACATGGAAAGGGCTGTCCCAGGGCAGGCTCAGCTGGGATATTGGGAACAATTCCCACATGGAAAGGGCTGTCCCAGGGCAGGCTCAGCCGGGACACTGGGAACAATTCCCACATGGAAAGGGCTGTCCCAGGGCAGGCTCAGCTGGGAACAATTCCCACATGGAAAGGGCTGTCCCAGGGCAGGCTCAGCCGGGATATCGGGGACAATTCCCACATGGAAAGAGCTGTGCCAGGGCAGGCTCAGCCGGGACACTGGGAACAATTCCCACATGGAAAGGGCTGTCCCAGGGCAGGCTCAGCTGGGATATTGGGAACAATTCCCACATGGAAAAGGGCTGTCCCGGGGCAGGCTCAACTGGGGACAATTCCCGCATGGAAAGGGCTGTCCCGGGGCAGGCTCAGCCGGGACACTGGGAACAATTCCCACATGGAAAGGGCTGTCCCGGGGCAGGCTCAGCTGGGTACCTGTGGAACAATTCCACATGGAAAGGGGCGTGCCCTGGCAGTCAGCCGGATCTGGGGACAATTCCCACATTGAAAGGGTTGTGCCAGGGCAGGGCTCAGCGGATATTGGGGACAATTCCCACATGGAAAAAAGGGCTGTGCAGGGCCAGGGCTTGCAGCCTGGGACCAATTCACCTGGAAAAGGGTGTCCAGGGAGGCTCAGCGGGATATCGTGGGAACAATTCCCACATGGAAAGGGCTGTCCCGGGGCAGGCTCAGCCAGGATATTGGGGACAATTCCCACATGGAAAGGGCTGTCCCGGGGCAGGCTCAGCCGGGACACTGGGGACGATTCCCGCCGGGAATGCGGAGCCCCCCCAACCTTCATCCCCGTTTCCCAGCTGCAGGTGAGGGACGCTCAGGGTCAGCATCTCCCACAGGGTGAGCCCGAAGGCGAAGATGTCGGCCCTGTCCGTGATGGTCCCGCCCTCCTCCAGCGCCTCCCTGGGCTTCCAGGGCTCCGTGCCCACGTAGCTCAGCCGGGGGTCGCTCACTGCGGGGGGGGAAAAGGCACCCTCTGGAATCGCTTCTCCATGGAAAAGGGGCCCGCCCGGTCTCCCCCCCCGGGGTGGGGGAATCCCCGTCCCCGCATTGTTCCCATCGCACGGATTAAAGCCTTTGGAATTCCCAGGGCAGCTCCTTTTGGGAGGCCCGGATCTGTTTCCTTCCCACGTTTTCCCCCCCCCCCCGGGTGGGAATCCGGCACCGTGGCAGTGCCGGGTATCCCAGATTTCCCAAGATTCCCGTTAAAAGCTTCTCCCTTGCCCGCATTCCTCCCGTCCCGCTGCCTCCTGCCCTTGGATCCCCCTCTAACCCTCCCAGGAATTTCCAGGGAATTCTAACCCTCCCAGGAATTCCCAGGGAGTTCTAACCCTCCCAGGAATTCCCAGGGAGTTCTAACCCTCCCAGGAATTCCCAGGGAATTCTAACCCTCTAACCCTCCCAGGAATTCCCAGGGAATTCTAACCCTCCCAGGAATTCCCAGGGAATTCTAACCCTCCCAGGAATTCCCAGGGAATTCTAACCCTCTAACCCTCGTGGGAATTCCCAGGGAATTCTAACCCTCTAACTCTCCCGAGAATTCCCGGGGAATTCCAACCCTCTAACCCTCTCAGGAATTCCCAGGGAATTCCAACCCTCTAACCCTCCCCAGGAATTCCCAGGGAATTCCAACCTTCTAACCCTCCCAGGAATTCCCAGGGAATTCTAACCCTCTAGCCCTCTCGGGAATTCCCAGGGAATTCTAACCCTCTAACCCTCCCAGGAATTCCCAGGGAATTCCAACCCTCTAACCCTCCCCAGGAATTCCCAGGGAATTCCAACCCTCTAACCCTCCCAGATTCCAGGATTCCCGTTAAAAGCTTCTCCCTTGCCCACATTCCTCCCATCCCGCTGCCTCCTGCCCTTGGATCCCCCTCTGACCTTCCCGGGAATTCCCAGGGAATTCTAACCCTCTAACCCTCCAGGGAATTCCCAGGGAATTCTAACCCTCCTGGGAATTCCCAGGGAATTCTAACCCTCTAACCCTCCCAGGAATTCCCAGGGAATTCTAACACTCTAACCCTCCCGGAATTCCCAGGGAATTCTAACCCTCTAACCCTCCCAGGAATTCCCAGGGAATTCTAACCCTCTAACCCTCCCAGGAATTCCCAGGGAATCCTAACCCTCTAACCCTCCCAGGAATTCCCAGGGAATTCTAACCCTCTAACCCTCCCAGGAATTCCCAGGGAATTCCAACCCTCTAACCCTCCCAGGAATTCCCAGGGAATTCTAACCCTCTAACCCTCCCAGGAATTCCCAGGGAATTCTAACCCTCTAACCCTCCCAGGAATTCCCAGGGAATTCCAACCCTCTGACCCTCCCGGGAATTCCCAGGGAATTCTAACCCTCTAACTCTCCCAAGAATTCCCAGGGAATTCCAACCCTCTAACCCTCCCAGGAATTCCCAGGGAACTCCAACCCTCTAACTCTCCCAGGAATTCCCAGAGAATTCCACCCTCCCGGGGAGCTTTGTTCCCACAACCCTGCGGTGAGAGCAGCTCCGTCGGGCCCGGAATTCCCGGGATCTGGCGTTCCCGGGACCGCTCACCGGTCATGTTCTCATCCAGGGGCAGGGACACCCCGACGTCGCAGATCTTGACGGCCTCGAAGTCCCCCCGGACCACCACGTTGGGGGACTTGATGTCCCCGTGCAGCAGCTTCTTCTCGCCGTGCAGGTACTGGGGGGAGGCGGGAAAAACCCCTTGGATCGGGATAAGGGAGCGCCAAAGGCCGGGAACGTCGGGATATCTCCCGCGCTCGGCCCTAAAAACGACTCAGGGAGCGGCTCCGGAATCTGCTCCCGGTGGGGAGGGACGTGGAGGAGCGTCCGGTTCCATCCATGGGTTGCTCCGAGCTGGCCTTGGGGCAATTCCAGGGGTGGGGGGGGGTTTGGATGCTTTGGGAAGCGTTCCCAGGGACACCGAGGTCTCCTCCTTGGAGACCGTCGGCATTCCAGCTCATCCCACCAAAACCGCCCCTGGCCACATGGGGTGGGAGAGGGAATAAAACCACCTGGGCTGGGATTTTCCCACTGCAGGGACCCAGGGGGAGAATCCAAAGGGGCTTGGAGAGGTTAAGAGTGGGAAGAGCTGGGAGAGAGAGGCTGGGAGAGCTGGGAATGTTCACCTGGAGAAGGGTGAATTCCCTTCCCAGGGAGGAGTTGGGCTGGGGCTGGATCCAATGGCAGGCTCTGGCTCCAGGCTGGGAGAGCTGGGAATGGCCAGGCTGGATTTGGGAAGGATCCCGGGAGAGCTTGGAGCACATTCCAGAGCCTGAAGGGGCTCCAGGAGAGCAGGAGAGGGCCTGGGGCTCAGGGCCTGGAATGCCAGGCCCCAGGGAATGGATCCCAGTGGGAAAGGGGAGATTTGGGGGGGAGATTGGGAAGGGATTCCTGGCTGGGAGGGTGGGGAGGGGCTGGGCTGGAATTCCCAGAGAAGCTGTGGCTGCCCCTGGATCCCTGGCAGTGTCCAAGGCCGGGCTGGATTCCCTGGGATAGCGGGAGCTGTCCCTGCCCGTGGCAGTGGGGGTGGGACTGGATGAATCCCTTCATTCCATGGCTATTCCCAATCCCTGGAGCGCCGGGAACCCCCCCGTACCTTCAGCCCCCTGGCCATGCTCAGGGCCACCTGGAAGATGGTTCTGGCCGGGAAGGGGCCCAGGCCCTGCTCCCTCCTCTCCTCGATCAGGTCGTTCAGGGACTTTTCCCCCCCGAATTCCATGGCCAGGCACAGGCTGCCATCCGGAGCCTCCGTGAGAGCCCGGTACCCTGGAACAGGGATGGGAACGGGGAGAGGGGACGGGAACAGGTCAGGGAACGGGTTGGGGGGGAAGGGACCTCAAAGCTCATCCCGTTCTGACCCCGACAATTCCCGCTATCCCAGGGGATCCAACCCGGCCTGGGACACTCCCAGGGATCCAGGGGCAGCCCCAGCTTCTCTGGGAATTCCAGCCCAGCCCCTCCCCACCCTCCCAGCCAGGAATCCCTTCCCAATCTCCCCCCCAAATCTCCCCTTTCCCACTGGGATCCATTCCCTGGGGCCTGTCCCTCCAGCTCTTCTCCCCAGTCCCAAATTTACCCAGAATCCACTCAAATTCACACAAATTCACCCAAAATCCACCCAAATTTACCCAGAATCCACTCAAATTCACCCAAATTTTTGTGAAAAGTCACAAAAAAAAAACCCTCAAAAAATAAAAAAAAAAATGCCAAAAAATTCAGAAAAAAAGCCCCCAAAATAAGAATAATAAAAAAAAAAAAAATCCGAAAAAAAATTCCCAGAAATTCCCCCAAAAAGAATTCCCATACCCCCCCCACCGAATAAAAAACGATCCCCGCCCCACCAATCCCACAAACCAATCGTAAAAAGTTCACTAATCATAAACCAAACATAAAACGAATCACGGAATAACGATAAAACCTTATACCAACAAAGGCCACATTCCCCAACAAGGCTTAACACCTCAAACATCCATCCCATACCAAACTCAAAAACACCAAAAGAAACTTTCGCTTATGAATCTAATATAAAATTCCCAACCTTACCCCCCTGCTTATTCCCCCTCCAAGAAAAGGTCCCGAAAGGCCACATAAAAAAAAAAAAAAAACAAAAAATAAAATAAAATAAAATAAAAAAATTAAAAAAATTCAGGAAAAAATCCGCCAAAATTCCCCAAAAATTCCCAAGCTCTCCCTGGATCCTCCCCTTCCCCAGTCCCACTTTCCCTCCAGGTTTTCCCGTTCCCAGCCCTGCCCAGGAGCCCTCGAAGCGGAGGGACAGGGAGTGACAATGTTTGCCCTTGGAAAGGTCAGGGCTGTCCCTGCCCCCGAACTGGGCCTTCTCGGGGACCCAACATTCCATGGAGGCAGCAATTCCCACCCAATTCCAACCCTGGAACACCCAAACAGGAGGACCACGAGGAGCCCAAGGCGTTGTTGGAGATGTTGGACCAAGACAAGGGCAGGAATTAAACACGGGGGTGAAGAAACATCTCCCAACATTCCCACCAGGAGAGCCAAGGGTGGGACAAAACCTCCATTGTCACCTGGAATTCCGGACAGGGAGGGACCTCTGGGCTCCTGGAGTGGCCCCTCGGGATCAGGGAGCGCCCTGGGCACTGCTGGGGCACATCCAGGGGGGCTCAGGGGGGATATTGGGAATAATTCCTCCATGGAAAGGGTTTCCCGGCCCTGCTGGAGTCGCCATTCCCGGGGGGATTTAAATCCCTGTGGATGTGGCCCCTGGGGACAGGGCTCAGTGGTGTCCAAGGGCTTGGGAATCCCAGGATAAGCCAAGTCCTGCGGCCGTGGATGTCACAGGGATCCCTGGCTGTGCCCACGGCCTGGGGACAAGGGATGCAGGGACAGGACACAGGGAATGGATCCCAGTGCCACAGGGCAGGGAGAGACGGGAGATTGGGAAGGGATTCCTGGCTGGGAGGGGGGGGAGGGGCTGGGCTGGGATTCCCAGAGAAACTGTGGCTGCCCATGGATCCCTGGCAGTGTCCAAGGCAGGGCTGGAGCCACCTGGGATAGTGGGAGGTGTCCCTGAACATGGAATGGGATGGGATTTGAGGACCCTTCCCACTCAAACCATTCCAGGATTCCAGGATAAAGGACACTCAGAATCCAGGCAGAGGGATTTTTATGGAATGTGGGGATGGAAGGGCAGGAAAGGGGAAGGGAGACCCTGCCCTGAGTGCCGAGATTCCCAGGGAACCCCCTTGTTCCCGGAACTCCTTCCCAGGGAGGAGCTGGGCTGGGGATGGATCCAATGGCAGGCTCTGGCTCCAGGCTGGGAGAGCTGGGAATGGCCAGGCTGGAGAAGGGAAGGATCCCGGGAGAGCTTGGAGCACATTCCAGAGCCTGAAGGGGCTCCAGGAGAGCTGGAGAGGGCCTGGGGCTCAGGGCCTGGAGGGACAGGACACTGGGAATGGATCCCAGTGCCAGAGGGCAGGGAGAGATGGGAGATTAGGAAGGGATTCCGGGCTGGGAGGGTGGGGAGCGCTCCAGAATTCCCGATTTCCCCGCCCTGGGAACTCACCCACGATGTTGGGATGCTGGAGGTCCCGCAGGATTTTGGCCTCTTCCCTCAGCCTCTCCCCGTAGAGGCTCTGCTGGCTCCGGTTGCACTTGGAATTGATCTTCTTTATGGCCCAGGGGGAGCGGGACAAACCCCTGGGAGACCTGGAAAATCCCGGCGTGTCAGAGCCGCTCCCTCGGGATAACGCCGGGATGGGGGCCCCGAGGGGCTGTGCTGGGGAACAGCTGCCTTTACTCCATGGAATTACGGAGCAGAAGTGCTAAAGGAACTGGAATGTGCCCCAGGTGGGCACGGGAATGCTCTGCTCCGCCCTGGAATTCTCAGGGAGAGGGAATTTGTATTGATTCCCATCTGGAGTTCCGGGAGGGAAGCAGCTTGCCCTGAGGCACCAGGAATGCACTCCAAAGCCCTGAATCCCTGGGAAAGGTTATCCCAAAACAAAGGGCTCCTTCCCAGCCTGGACAAGCCCGGTACAAACCCCACATCCCTCCCTGGGCTCCGGATCTGTGGGAAGGGAATCCGGCAGCACCCGGAGGGCGGTGACGGCACCACTTTCCCTCTCAGAGCCCGTTTTCCATCCCCAGGGGGGGATTTTTGGGGAATAAAATCTGCCCAATCCCTGTTCCCTGTCCCCCCTGAGCTCCCCCCACACACCTTTTCATCAGGTACACGTTGACTCCGGTGCCATATCCCAACTTCTGCATGAAGGGAGAGGCCGGGATGGTGACGGATACGGGCCCTGCATCTGCAAGGAAAAGGGAATCCCAGGGATCCCAGGGAAGTTCTGGAGCTCCTCCAGCTGGACACGAGCCCAGCTGGGCTCTGCTCCCAGGGGGTGCGGGGCAGGACAACAGGGAACGGCCTCGAGCTGTGCCAGGGCAGTGCCAGGGGATGTTGGGAACAATTCCCACATGGAAAGGACTGTCCAGTGGTGGAGTCGCCATTCCCAGAGGGATTTCAAATCCCTGCGGATGTGGCACCCGGGGATGTGGCTCAGTGGTGGCCTTGGCAGCGGGAATGTGGCTCGGGAATGGTTGGACTCAATGGCCTTAAAGCTCTTTTCCAGCCCAAAGCATTCCATGATTCCCACTGGGATGCTTCGATCACAAACAACTTCCAGAACAAGTTGGGATTTCCACGGAAGCTCCTTCTAATCCCCCCTTTCCCCAGTATTCCCCCAGATTCCATCCCCTGATCCGTCCCCACCGCCCTCGGTTGGTTTGATCCCAAAAGCAAAACAGATCCAGAGCTTCTGGTCCTTATCCCACAGTGAGGAATCCCGGGATGCACAAGGAGCTGGGATGGGACACGGGTGGGAAAACTGATCCCAAAAGGCCACAGGGACATCCCAGAGCACAGGGAAGCTGTGGATTCCCCATCCCTGGAATTGTACAAGGTTGGATTGGGCTTGGAGCAACCTGGGATAGTGGGAGGTGTCCCTGCCCATGGCAGGGGTGGGACTGGATGGGACTTAAATTCCCTTCCCACACTGGATCCATGAGGACACCTGGAGGAGAGAAGGATCCCGGGAAAGCTTGGAGCACATTCCAGAGCCTGAAGGGGCTCCAGGAGAGCTGGAGAGGGACTGGGGACAAGGGCTGGAGGGACAGGACACAGGGAATGGATCCCACTGCCAGAGGGCAGGGAGAGATGGGAGATTGGGAAGGGATTCCTGGCTGGGAGGGTGGGGAGGGGCTGGGCTGGAATTCCCAGAGAAGCTGTGGCTGCCCCTGGATCCCTGGCAGTGTCCAAGGCCGGGTTGGAGCCACCTGGGATGGTGGGAGGTGTCCCTGCCACTCAAAGCATTCCATGATATGCCGTGTTTGGAATCATGGCCTTTGTCTTCCCAAGTGGCCTTTGGGGTCCCTGGGGTCCCTCTGGGAATATTTTGGGATCTCACCTGGTCTCTCCCTGCGGGATGAGCCGGCTGGGGACTGGAAGGTGTCCATGGCTGGGATCCCGATCCTACAGGACAAGGGGGATGTCAAGGGACAGAAAGGACACCGGGGGGGGTCCCAGATTGGGGGATTTGGGGAGGGTGGTCCCACATTGGAGCAGTCCATAGTTGGAGGGTGGGGGAGTGTCCCAGGTTGGGCTCGGGGTCCCAGTTTGGGAGATGGGAGGGTGGGTTCCAAGTTCGGGGGGATGATAGAGGGGGTCCGAGGTTTGGGGGGTCTCGAAGTCCAGAACTGGAAGATGGGGGTTCCCAGTTTGGGAGGTAATCCCAGAGCAGGGGATGGGGGGCGGCCCCTGGCTGGGGGAGTCCCAGACTGGAGGATAGAGGGGGCTGGGGATGTCCCGGGCTGGGGGATTTGGGGGGCAGGGGGGAATCCCGAGGCTGGGGGCAGCCAGAGCCCCCCGTGTCCCCCCTGTGCCCGGGGGTCTCAGTTTTGGGTATCCGGGGGGTGTCTCAGCCCCTGTTCCCCTTCCCGGCCGTTCCCGGAGCTGGGGGATCCCAGATTGGGGGATCCAGGGGGTGCGGAGCCCCCTCCGTGTCCCACCTGTGCCCGGGGGTCTCAGTCCGGGGGTATCCGGGGGGTTTTGGGTCCCGTTTTCCCGATCCCGATCCCGGATCAATCGCGGCCCTTCCAAATCGCGCGCGCCTTTCAAATCCGCGCGCGCGCGCCGGACTCGCCCCCTTTGTGGGCGGAGCCAACGAGCGACGCAGGCGCGGTCACGCGAGGGGCGTGGTCAAAAGGATCCTCGGTGACGGGGGCGTGGTCAAGCAGCAGGAGGCGGGGCAAAACGGTGGGGGGTGTGGCCTGAGGGAATGAGCAATCCCCGGGCGGGGCAAACAAGGGGCGTGGTCAAGTGAAGAGGGCGTGGTCAAGTGAAGAAGGCGTGGTCAGAGGGCGGTGGGCGGAGCTTGGGGCGGTTCCTCGGGAGTCCCCCGAGGGTTGGGGAGGGTTTGGGGGTGGTTGAGGGATTTGGGGGGGTCCCCGAGCCTTGGGGGGATCTGGGAGGGGTGCAGGAGGCCTTGAGGGGCACTTGGGGGACATGGGGGGGGTTGGAAGGGGTGAGAGTGATTTTGGGGGGTCCCAAAGCCTTGGGGGGGATTTGGCGGGACACCCGGGGGGGTTGAAAGGGCAGAGAGTGATTTTGGAGGGTCCCAAAGCCTTGGGGGGGATCTAGGGGACACCCGGGGGGGTGTGAGTGATTTTGGGGGGTCCCAAAGCCTTGGGAGGGATCTGGGGGACACCCAAGGGGGTTTTGGGGGTGTGAGAGTGATTTTGGGGGGTCCCAACACCTTGGGGGGGATTTGGGGGACACTCGGGGAGTCTGGCCGGGGTGTGAGTGATTTTGGGGGGTCCCAACACCTTGGGGGGGGATTCTGGGGACACCCGGGGGGTCTGGGAGGGGTGTGAGTGATTTTGGAGGGTCCCAAAGCCTTGGGGGGGATCTGGGGGACACCCGGGGGGGTTGAGAGGTGTGAAAGTGATTTTGGGGGGTCCCAAAGCCTTGGGGGGGATTTGGGGAACACCCGGGGAGGTTGGAAGGGGTGAGAGTGATTTGGGGGGGGTCCCAACACCTTAGAGAGGATCTGGGGGACACCCGGGGGGTTTGGGAGAGGTAGGAGTGATTTTCGGGGGTCCCAAAGCCTTGTGAGGGATCTGGGGGACAGCCGGGGGGTCTGGGGGGTGTGTGAGTGATTTTTGGGTTGCCAAGCCTTGAGGGGGAGCTGGGGGGACACCCGGGGGAGTTTGGGGTCTCTGGGGTCCTTAGGACTTGGAGACGGGGGGGCTGTGTGGGGTCCCCAAGGCATTGAGGGGGTTTCCAAACCTTTGCGGGGGTCTCCATGGGGTCCCCAAGGCCTTGGGGGGGCACCATCACTCTTTGACCCCCCAACAACCCCGGACCCCCATAAACCCTCCCAGACCCCCCATGGACCCCCATCACTCTTTCACCCACACACACACCTCCCTAAACCGCCCAAGATCCCTGTGGCTCTTTGATCCCCCAACACCCTCCAGAGCCCCCATAAACCCCCATCACTCTGTGACCTTCCCAGACCCCCAACACCCCCAGACCCCTCATAAACCCCACTGCTCTTTGAAGCCCCCCCCCGGGCTCGCCCAAACCCCCACAAAGCCCCATCGCACTTCATCCCCCATAACCCCCCTGGACACCCCTAAACCCCCATCAATCTGAGGAAGATTTCCTCCCAATCTCCCACCTCTCCCTGCCCTCTGGCAGTGGGAAGCCATTCCCTGTGTCCTGTCCCTCCATGCCTTGTCCCCAGTCCCTCTCCAGCTCTCCTGGAGCCCCTTTAGGCTCTGGAAGGGGCTCCAAGGTCTCCCTGGATCCTTCCCTTCCCCAGCTGAGCCCCCCCAGCTCTCCCAGCCTGGCTCCAGAGCAGAGGGGCTCCAGCCCTGGCAGCATCTCCGCGGCCTCCTCTGGACTCTCTGCAGCAGCTCCACGTCCTTGTGCTGCTGTTGCCCAGGGCTGGAGGCAGCTCTGCAGGGGGGTCTCAGCTGAGGGGGCAGAGGGGCAGATCCCCCCTGCCCTGCTGCCCACCATCCCTGTGGGATCAGCACAGGCCACGGGGGGTTCTGGGGCCAGAGCACCCGGCCGGAGCACGTCCAGCCTCTCCCCCTGCAGCACCCCCAGGTCCTTCTCCCCAGGGCTGCTCTCCATCCATTGCACTCCCAGGGGGGGTTTGTGTCTGGCATTGCCCCGATCCAGAAGGAGCACACGGGATTGCAGCTTCAGTAAAGCTGTTGAAGGTCTAATCCCAGCACTAGAGCCCGAGAGTGCTGAACTGCCCCAGGGCTGAGCTTGAGAGGGGACTGGTAGAGTGCTGAGGGGCTGGGGCTGAGGGGCTGGACTGAGGGCTGGCTGTGGATGGAGCTGTGAGGGGACGGTTGTGAGGGCGGGCTGTGTGTGTGAGGGGAGAGGGGACGGTTGTGAGTCGGGCTGTGTGTGTGAGGGGTGAGGGGAAGGTTGTGAGGGCGGGCTGTGTGTGTGAGGGGTGAGGGGACAGTTGTGAGGGCGGGCTGTGTGTGTGAGGGGAGAGGGGAGGGTTGTGAGGGCGGGCTGTGTCTCTCGGCTGTGAGGGGACTGTT